GTAATTTTTTAATATACTCTGAACTTGGTAGCGCCAACAGGACGCTGAAAGCAAAAGAGCAGCTGAGCTATTTTAAGGTCTGTTCTTCCAGCAGTTTGGTGCACATCTTAAAGAAAAATAAGAACATATAAAAAAAATATGACACCAAACTGCTCTGTTTTCATTGCATTATGCAGATGAAATGACAAGTTGTCATTTAAGAAGTTAATAAACAGTCACCATTTTGCAGGTTATCCAAATGCTACTGAATAGAAAACCTTGGATCCCTAAATGATGTGTAATTAAAATTATTTAAAAAATCCTCCTTGACAGGCCAGGGCTTAGCCAAAATGTAAATGACATTAAAGAAGACAATGAATTTAATTTTATTTAATGTCCCTTTTTGCAGATCCTCATTTACATAGCATTTTTAACAAAAGCGTTGACCTTATAAATGCTGGCATTTGTACAGCTTCTGCAGAGTTGGATTTAATCATGCTTTCGCAAAGCCATAAGGGAAAAAGCTTTAAGTTCTCTGGTTGGATATGGAGTAGGAATAAAAACATTGGGACTGGTCAAATGTTTATCCTCCTTGCTTCTGAAAACAACCTGACAAGAAGATGTAAAGGTCTAGGGAATAACCCATTGCTGTTTGTAAGGCTTGGTAATAATCATACATAATCGTTTGGAAATATAGCTAATAAAAAATATAATGAGTGTTCAGCAAAATCGGCATTAGGCCCAAATTACATGATATTAATACTTGAACAGGTGCAGAAAGGCGCTTTAAATGAGGTAAATGAATAAAATGTCCCAGAGCACAACTGTGTGCACTGACAAAAAGTCAATCACATGAATAATTCAGCGGCCGGGACTGCCAGCAAAGGTCAGCGGCTCTCACCTTTGTGACGGGAAGTGAAAGGAAACGCTGCTGACGAAAAAAAACCCCCTCGCCCTCCAGCAGCCGCCACCCTGCCGAAGGTGTAAACTTGGAGTAGGGAGGAATTAAAGAGCTGCACCAGCGAGCCGGCAGTAAAAATAAATAAATAAATAATAAAAATTAAAAAAAAAAAAAATTAAAACCAAACCAGCTTGAACAGCCAAGTCGTTTAGGGGAAATAATCTAAAATTACAGCCAGGGAAAGGTTAAGGGGGGTGGCTACCAGCAATGTCAATTATCTCCCAAATCTGAGGTCAGGCAAAAGGTATTTTAAGAGCCTACGGGATTGAAATTTTGTAACAGCTGTTAAATATGACAAAACTTTTTATTCCCCCAAACTACAGCTATTCCAAACTCCGTATGAAAGAAATGGGATAAGCAGATGTCTGGCTTCCATACAGGAAAGTAGGACACACTTGGAATGATAAGTCTCCTAAACTCTACAGAATAATGCCAGGTTTGCTGGGGAGGGGGGCATTTGCTGCCCACGGAGATGCCAGCGAGCAGTAGGGCCGTGATGGTGCCATCTGGAAACCCTCTGCCGAGCAGGCGCTGGCCGTGCTCCGCCAGCGCTCCCGGCCCGGCCTCCGCCCGCCACCGGCACCCAGCGGCACCGGCCGCAGCCCCGGGCCTCGGGGACACCCCCGGCCAGGCAGCGAGAAGCCAAGGGTCTGGCTCCGAGCAGGAATTTCCATCCCTCCCCAGTGAAATATCTGCTGGTGGCACGGAGGAATGGTTCTAGCCCAGAGTGTGGTTTTGGTTTAGCAGTTCCAGCGGCATCCTGTAATCATTTACAGCCCTTGGAATGTATGGGTGAAATAGGAGAGATTTATCTGTTCATAGTTGTGATATGTAGACAATGGGTGTTCCTAATGAGGAACATCTGCTTTTGTGTTTTCCCAGAAAACATTATTCCACTATGAAAATGATACTCCCATCCTTTTCAGCAACACCGCAAAGAAAATATGGGCCTTTTCCTTTCTTTTATTTGCTTTTCTTTGGGTCAATCTAATTTCCCAGGGACACTTTTTCTGTGGCATCTTTTTACTGACTGCGCTGCAATTTACGGTGGGTTTGTTCTTTAACACGTGAGGTACTGGGCTGGAGGAACGGCCCCGAAATGCCAGCAGATACTTAAATGTGTACAGTAATAAAAGCCTCCCCGCTCAGCCATGCTCCGTGAGAAACATCCAGGCGACGTAAATAAAAATTCCCAGTGAATTAAAAGGTCGCGGAGGCTCCTGACACCAAAAACCGCTTCCAAGGCCTCGGGTTTGGCTTTTACATTTCCAGCCCACTGCAGGATTCAAACATAGAGTTACACAAGTTTATTTAAAATATCAGCACTGCTAATAAATTATTACTCCTGAGGTGCATAAGGGGTTTTTTTTTTTCCCTTCTGTTTTTTGGTTTTTTTAATCCCAGTGCATAAACAACTCTGACTATCACGGAGTCTCCTAGTGTGGGCTGGAAGAAATGGGTGGCCATAGATCTCAATTCAGGATTGAATTATTGGTTCATATCCTGAGGACAAATATGCCTTATCTGGTCAAAAGCTGCTAAATGTATCCAAAGGACAAAAGGATCTAGCGAAGCATATTGGATATAATTCTTTTTTTTTTTTTTTTAAGCCAACTACCCAAGCAGCTCCACTTCCTATGGGAAACTGTAAATTGACCCCCAAATGTGATGGGGAAAGGTTGTTCCGTGATGCTCAAGAGGGAAATGCAAGCCTGAAATCCAACCCTGACAACAAATTTAGGCACCAGACTCCGAGCACATGGGTCGAGCGAACGTAAATATCGGGGATTTCAAATCCACCTCGGTGCTTCCAGAGGGCTGGAACCCCTCCTCCAGAGCTTCCTCCCGGCCACACTTCCCTCCTAGGTTTGCTGCAATTTGCTCGGAGCAAACATCACATCCCAGAGTCCTCCAAAAACCCGGCTGGAGAGGCCACTCCAGCCTCTGCCGAGCTCCAGATTCTCTGCCATGAGAAGTGACAACTCTCTTTAGGAGGCTAAAATCCATGCCATCCCCATAAAGCCCAAATCTTGAAAATTCCTAATGCAGAAGGTGATTAACATTGCCATAAAATTGTCCTGTCTTTAAATTTAGAAGCACAGCAGATTTTTCATCAATAATTAAGATCACTAAAGCATTTATGCTAGGCATAAATGGAGTTTCAATCTTCCTTATTCAAATAAACATGATAAACCCATTAACCAAATGTTTTCTG